CAAAAATGCATAGGTTACAAATTTTAAGCTACATAAGAATCTCAATTTACAATTTCAAACCATTTAGTTCAAATCTAAAATTCCCATTCAAAACTGAACTGAAATGCCAAGATACCAAAGAAAATCAATGAAAGCATAAAGCTGTCAAAGAAGGTTTGAGGAAAAGATATCAAAATGCAAGATTTATCCAAACTGTCAAAAGGAGATGCAATAGTGTATTATGCAAATAATAAGCTATCTTTTTCATCATTTCCTTAGTCAGCCCCTTCAGAACAGTACAGTAATATCATATAAAATTCTTAATCTGTACTTTAAGAGAGATAAAAAGAGAGATAAGGCAGCAGGCCAAGACAGTTCAGGAAAGGCAGTTCAGAGTAAGAGAAAAGGGAAAATATTCAGTTCACAGCAGACATTAGAAGAGTGAGAAGAAAACAAAATACACAAAAGCCAAGACCGGGTTCAGCAGGCATAGCAGTTCAGCAGGCATAGCAATTCAACGTAGGCACAGTTCAATAGCAGCACAGCAGGTAGTAGGCAAGTCAAAGGAAAGATATACAAGATAAAAGAGACAAACTCAGTTCAGAGGTAGCAGCAGGTGAGAGAGAAGGGAAAGTATACAAACTAAGCACAACTCTGCATAAAAGCAGAAAACCAGTTCAGCAGCATAGCAGAATAGGATAGAAAAAGAAAGATAGCAGTTCAGGACAGTTCAAAAATATACAAACAAACCACAACCTGCCTAAGAAAAAGAGGAGCTCACTACTGTCCAGAACCATAAAAACCATAACCAAACCTTTATGCCAAGGACGAAAACCTGATAATCCAAGTCATAACCATATCCAAAACAATACCACAAAAACTCTACATGCTGCCTAACCAGAATCATCAACAACCAAAAAACCAATATCCTCACCACCAATGAACCAGCAATAGCCTCAACACAACAATAACACATAAACCTGCATTCCCCTCAAAAACACCCCCATTACTGTTGTCAAAAGCCATTACCCTGTCTCAATCTGTATACTCACAAAAACCTGCATCAGTCTCAGAACAAAAAACTAAAAACAAATAGCCTCAACTTTCAAACCACATAACACATTCTCAAAAAAATCAAACCTCACCATCTTATGCTAAACCAATACCCTGTCATAAACACACAAGAAAACTGGGATCCAAACAAAAAGCCTCAAACCATTATCTAGCCAATATCCACATAACCAAACACTGAACTTCATCAACCCTGCCCAACCACATAGTCAAGTTCAAACCTGAGATAAACAAAACCCCCTAGCCCTCAGTTTAACATCATTGGGCGAAGTCTCAGAACCTATCCAACATTCGAGGCAATACCAAGGCAATAACTGTTCCAAAATCATTTAGAAACAAAGGTATCAAGGCAGCAATGTTCTAAAATACACAGGCAACAACCCAAGGCAACGCATTGTGGAAGAAGAAGATAAAAAAAAGTGAATTTCAAGAAAGGTTTTTCAGGCAGTACAACTCATCATCAAAACCTAAGCAGAAGGCAAAAGAACGAAAGTACCAGGGACATCAAGAAAGCCCTCATCACGCATTCGTCACCGACCCTCCGCCATCGAGCCTCCAACTGCCTCCTTCCTCTTCCTTTGTAAAGGTAAAACCTCTTTCACTTTTTTCTTCAGAAAAAACCTCGTGTAAGCCCGTAAACAAAAGTCAAACAAATGTACAACCACGACATGCAAGACGAAAAGAAAGTCAGAACGGGAACGAAAGCGAGTTTCTGTACCTGACGTGAGTGGCTCATGGAGGATGGAAGAGGAGATGGCACGGTGGCTCTAGGGCGGAGGACTGCATTTCAGAGTTCAAGGCGATCGGAGAAGATAGGCGAAGACAAGTACAAACGGCGCGCTCAAACCCTAAACTTCCCAAACTGAACAAACCAATTCACAACCCTAAATTCGTTCCAACCCCCAAACGGGCCTTGCCCATTCCGTTTTACTCTAAGCCCATTTAGAATTTCCAAAACCCTTTATTAAAACTCTAATCTCTTTATATTATATAAACCTTTTTTCATTACAAAATCATACAAATAATAAAAATACTTTTTTATCATAAAACCAAAATTGAAAACTTTTTTAATTAAAGTGTACACTTGTACATATCATTTTTATCATATAATTGAAAATACTTCTTTTTACTCTTTTAATCAAAATACATTTGTACATAATAATTTAAATACACTTTTCTAATACAAAATTCAATTCTTTTAATTTAAATACTTTGTTGTATATAAGCAAATAAAAGAGACATTCTTAATTTAAAACTTGAACATTTTTTGTACATATTATACATTCTCATACATAATTAAAATTAAACCTTTTTTAGTTAATATACATTTTTGTACATAACCATTTAAATACATTTTTCTTCTAATATTTAAAATCCCAAACATTTTGACTAAAATACTCTCCAATTAAAACTTAACACTTAATCAAAACCCTTCATTTATACATAAGCATACAAAAAAAATCAAAATTCATTTAAAAACGTATATCTAAGACAAAACCCTAATACGACTCAATTTCATGATTCATATTTGTACATATTTACACTTACACATACATTTGCACTTATACAATATATTGCCCTACACACATTTTATCTTGCATTTATACATTTGACATTTATATTTTGATTGCGACATTCGATTTGGTTGTAAGTACTATAAGTCTCATCCCCTTGTACATTTATACCCCCACCCTGGATATTATTGTGTAATAGCGTAGATTTACATTCCGCAATTTACAATTTTCCAATTATACCATGGTTAGACCTAGGGTTTGTATGTACATAAAATCAAACGCTAGATAACCTAATACAAGACAAATACATGTAATCAATACACAATCACACTTGCACCCCCTAGGGTAATCCCACATGTTGCCTTCCAAATGGGCCATGCTTGCACGTCGAATGTCTTTGGCAAAGCGAATTCAAATGATCATAAGTCCCTCGATGACGCTTTCGAAAGTCGCCTATCAAAAATGATCAAGTCCCCTCAAAACAAATTGCCAAAGACACTTGGCATCATTGCATTCATGGTCCATACAATGACCCGCGCCCGTCCCGAATAAACTTCCTAAACGCAAGATTGTCCATCAACTTCAATGATGGAACAAAATTGTTAAAAAGGGTCAAAACATGACAAAAACCTTTGAGTACAATAGGGTAGACAAAACTCTTAGTTACTTGAGATCAAACTTGCAAAAACACTTGCCTTCTTTTCAAAAACCACAATCCACAACACTTTCAAAAATCAACTTTTCAAACTTTTGAAACATCTTTTCGAAAAGATATGCACCTTTGTAAAACATTCGAGTAAAGAATTATTACAAGGTTGGCCTAAAACAAGGCATCTTTTTCCAAAACATTTTCAAAAAGCACCCACACACGCACTCTTTTCAAAGCAATCGAAAAACAAGGCAAGTGATCTAAAAAGCCAAGTAACTAAGAGCCCATGGATAACCATGGATGAAAAGGGTGCTAATACCTTCCCTTTTCATAATCTACCCCCCGAACCCACGAAATATCTCAAAAGGTTTTTGCTGTGCTTTTTTAACCTTTCCTTTAGGATAAAATAAAAAGTCGGTGGCGACTCTTGCTAACCGCACAAGTGCGAATACAAACGCAAACACTAGTCAGTTCTCCCACCGTATCACACATACAAAGGTGTATGTTCATGTTTTCTTTTGTGTCATGTGCAGAGACAAGTCTGAATCAAGAGCATCAGGTGTCGCGCCTCAATTAAGGTTTTGAGTCTCCCAAGCCAAAAGTACGGTTGATTATGGATTCTCGAAGACTGATTCATCAAGGCACAACTGTTGCACTCTAGATTTCGCCCCTAACGTGTTTTAATCGCACATTCATACCATATTTTGTCATTTGGTCACAATCATTAGTAAATATCTTCACTCATCATATTTTGCATCATTAGTCGTATTTAAGTTGACCAGAAAAGTCAGTTTAAATAAAAAGTTTGCGTCGTCTTTACCTGACATTTCACTTCATGCATTTTTATCTCTTTACTCGTTTCTTGCATTGCTCCAAGTTGTTTATATGTCGATAATAAAAATATTTTGGTTTTATAGACCAACTGTTAAAAGCGATTCAACAATGTACGAAAAATTAGCGAGAAAAATATTTCAAGTTTTCACCTTTTACCGTTCATTTTATGAATCTGCGCTTCACGTAAATTATGACGATATGCTCGCTTTATTTTTTTCGGTACAGTTCGAAGTCTCGTTTTTAACCGTAAACGCCTATTTAGCCTGATATTTTAATTATCATTTTACTTCGATTTTGATCATTTTAATATTTTTTTCATTTATCTTTGAGACGTGTAGTTTATTTTAATGTGTTCATTTCATTTTTTCGGATAGATTTTTGTCCATTTTTTACCGTTTTTAGTCATCTTGGGTCTCTATTTTTTATATTCAAAAATAAATATAATTTGTTTTTTAAATTGAGTTAATTTTATACTTTTAGGTTTTTAAGTTATTTTTATCATTAAAGGGCTTTTCTGTCATAAAAAAATGTTTGTTACACTTTGCTTTGCTCTCATTGGTTGTAAGCAAGAGTTGAGGATCGATACAAAAACACAAAAAACAACAAAAACAACTCACCCAGTAATACTCCCTCTCTCCACACTTGCTACCCTCCCCATGCCAAAAAAGAGGGAGATATCAGAAACAAAAAAAAGGCAAAAGGCATAGAGAACCGTGTTCTATTGTGTTATAGTCCATAGAGAGAGAATCCTTTTTTTTCAATTCAATTATTCAGTCCTATGAGAGAGGAGAATCCTTTAGCTACTGTCTCAATCTTCACAACGTGATCTCCTTGTAACTTTGGAACCAACACATGGTTTTTTTTCCTCTTAAAACCAACACAACACTACTACTATGTCATTTTTTTTCTAACTGAACCCATACTTAATATTCATCTTCTTTCTTCATCTCAATATGGCTACTGCTTGTGCTTTGTTCAATGCTGTTGGAGGAGGAAACACTACTACTGATGAAACCAACAACAATAGTACCTGTAACTCGAGTAACATCAGCAGTGAAGATTTTCACAACATACCTCAACGACAACATTCTCCGTCTTCTTTACGAAGGTCCAAGAGTTTCAAGTGTTTTTTTGGCCAAATCCTTGGGTTGCTAGCAACGGTGCTACTGGTAGTGGTAGCAGATCCATATTCAACAGTAGCAGAACCGCTTCTTTGGATTCATTTGGTTGGTCATTTGGGTGAAGCTTATGAAGAGTGGGTTCATCAGCTCATTGTTGCAAGGGAGGTTGCTGAATTCTTGTTGATGAGAACCAGTGATGATAATGTATCTAAGAAGGAGTTCAATGAAATTGAGTGGTTTGTTGGTCACCATCCTCCCAGTGTTCTCATCCCAATTGCGCATGGTTCTGAAGAGATTGAAGTAGTGACACTGATAGATATTCTAAGGCGAGCAAAAGCTAATGTCATAGTTGCTTCTGTTGAGAAAACTCTTGGAGTTATGGCTTCTCAAGGAACCAAAATTGTTGCTGATAAGTTACTTAGTGATGTTCAAGAGTCAGCACATGATTTGATTATTCTCCCGGGAGGAACTGCTGGCACTCAAAGGCTAAGCAAATCTAGAATTCTGAAGAAGCTTCTAAAAGAACAAAATTCAGCTGGAAGAATATACGGGGCCGTCTGCTCCTCACCTGCTATTCTACACAAACATGGTTTACTAAAGTTACTTACTGGTTGAGAAGTATAAGGTGAAATGCAGCGGCACCTGATGCAGACGCAGCCTATGATGGCAGCTTACTATCCAAACAACGTCACTACTGATCACATTCAACAGTATTTGGATGAGAACAAGTCCTTGATTTTGAAGATTGTGGAGAGTCAGAATTCTGGCAAGCTCAACGAGTGTGCAGAGAACCAGGCAAGGCTATAGAGAAATCTCATGTATTTGGCTGCAATAGCTGATTCACAACCTCAACCACAAGCCATGCCTGGTCAGTATCCCGGTGGTGGTGGAATGATGCAGGGTCAACAGCAGGGAGGAGGAGGAGGAACTCACACAAGCAGCCGCTGAAGCTCCCTCCACGCAACCCACGCCGACGAATCCCACGATTAACCGTCCACTGCCGCATCCGACAGCTCCATCTCCATGTCACGCTCACAACACACTGCTCCGCCACGACCCCACTTTTCGGCAATTTGTAAATCCCATTCCTTTGAAGCGTCCAGTAATGACAGCTGAGCCATCAATCATTATTAGGGAGCTTGAGTCAGATGATTTATTCTTAATATTTGCATCAGATGGCCTTTGGGAATGATTAAGCGATGAAGCAGCGGTTGATCTTGTTTTCAAATATCCAAGAGCGGGAATTGCCAAGAGACTAGTAAGAGCTGCTCTCTAGGAAGCGGCAAAGAAAAGAGAGATGAGATATGCTGACATAAAGAAAATCAACAATTACGGTTTGTTTGGCCCATTTACTCATTTCCTTTTCTATGTGTTTTATTATTTATTTTGCTATTTGTTTTTTTTAAAATGTTACAAAATACAAAAAATACATGCTTTACAAATTAGTCTTTTATTTAATTTTATTTATTTAATTGTTCAAAAAATACATGCTAGTATAAATTAGTTATTTACTTAATTATTCAATTGTCATTCCAATTAACTTTATTCTCAATCATTTAATTTTTTTTTTCGTTCGTCTAAAATCCAAGGGAAACGTTCTAACTTTGTTGACTTCATGTCATCAAACACATGTTATACGATTAAGCGAATACCTTCCTTCATTTTTGTTTTACTATTTTGTTAATCTTAAGTTAAGAATTTTCCTAAAAGATTCAATTTTCAAACTCACACCTTTTAAGTCAAAACTTCGACACTAGGTCGTCGTATCCTAAAAAAATCTCATCCATACCCATTTTAGCCAAACGAACCATTTTAATCAAACAAACAATTTTAACCAAAAACAGATATTTCAAAAGGTTCCTGCGGAGTACCGCAGATGCATTGGGTGCTAATACCTTCCCATTGTATAACCAACCCCCAAACTCTCGATCTCTTTCAAAAACGCATTGTATTTTTATTACTTTTAAGTCTTATTTTACATTGCATATTTTAGGGTTTTATTTCGCTCTTTTCCCTTTTCCCTTGGAAATAATAAAGCGCGGTGGCGACTCTTGCTTTTGTGAGTCAAGTTAATTAATAGCTTGATCTCCGATTTTCACCGCTACAGAATTGGCGACTCTGCTGGGGAAAGATTGACCTCTTGCTGGTCCATCCCTAAGTGGGTTAAGCCTAATTTGTTTTATCTGTTTTATCATTATTTGATTGTTTGATTATATGTATATATTGTGATTATTTGGGTGTTGATAATATTTACAAAGGACAAGTCCTATACCCGGACTAAGTTACACTTAGGAATAGGACGGGCGGTATAGTCATGTTAACTTTGAGGGAGTAATCCCGAAGAAGGAGGCATGAGATCCCCCACTCAGTGGAAGGCCCTTTTGAACGTAATATTTGTTTACCGAGTAATCGGGAAGACATTATTATTTTCGACCTGGGAGCCAGAGAAGCTGGGAACCGTAGAACCCTAACCCATCTTGGCCTTTTAGGTGTAGCGCGGAGATTATAACAGAGTAATCCAGAAGTAATTGTTACGCGATGCTACGCTCGGATGAGTTTCTCTTGAGAATATTGCTGATTATTGAGTAATCAAGACGTTGGTAATATCCGAAGGAGGAATGTAGACTCCGGGAACTCTTAGAACCTTGTTCTACAGGTGTGATTAAACCGTTAGTACATACCTTGGGGGTGTTCCTTACCTTGACTCCATGCTCGTGACGTTGAACCTTCTGACTTTATTTGTGACCTTGCTTGTGGTTGTTTCACAGCCATGCATTCATGCATCCATAAAACCCTTTTCACTTGACTTTGAAGGAATTTGGAGGTCTTTCTTTGTAAACATCACAAGTTTCGTCAAGCTCAATGGATCTTGGGTGTTGATAGGGCGAAAACCCTAATCCACCAAAATGGATGATTGATCTTGATGATAACTTGATCAATGTTTGGAGCCAATTTAAAATTCATCTTCTATCTTCATACTTTGATGTTTACAACTTAATATCTTGAGTTCCTTGAAAATCAAATAAAAACTCTCTTTTGCATATCATGCATCATTCTACATTTTTTGTTTCACTTTCAAAGGTCTTTTTCCAAGTCTTATTTTTCCTTTGGTCTCACCAGTACAACACTCGCGCCAAGAAAACAATGGAGAATATCAAGCAAGAGGTTTCTGAACTCCGTAGAGAGATGACTATTTTGAAAGCTGGTATGGATCACTCGACTGTTTTGGGTTGAAATTTTGGTTACCACCCAAGTCAATCCTTCTAGGATGGAGGAAGCGATGATACAAGTATTCACTGAAACTCTATAATCATTCTCCCATGAGAAGGTGATGGTTAATGCACCTAATGACTTTCCTGACAAGGTGAATGTGGGAGTGCGTCTAGAAGAAGATGTCGGAAAGGGATGTTCATATGAAGATGGTAGCTCAACTAATGGTGTGAAGAAGTTTGATAACAACTTTCCCAAGAAGAGAACCAGAGGAAGAAATAATCATCATCAGAATCATCATGTTTTTCCCATTTATCAACAGAATCAGCAAGTTCCTAATCAGAGGAAAACTCAATTTGATCCAATTCCAATCACCTATACAGAGTTGTTCCCTATCCTGATGCAGAGGAATTTGGTTCAGACCCGACCTCCACCGAAGGTTCCTGAGAAGATACATTGGTACTACAAAGCTGATTTGGCTTGTACCTTTCATCAAGGTGCTCCTGGGCATGACTTGGAGGGTTGCTTTGCTTTGAAGATTGAAGTTCAGAAGTTGGTCAGAAGTGGTATCTTGTCATTCAAGGACGTTGGTTTTGAAATTCAAATCAAGCATGTGCCGAAGAGTAAACACGATTGGTGGTCACTTTGAGTTTTGAAGGATGTTTTTGGTGATTCAAGTCCAGATGGAAAGCCTTCCCAGATTATTAACTTATTTCTGCTTTTTGTAATTTTTCTTGTTTATCAAAACATTGTTTGCATGTAAGAACTTGTTTGCATCTGTGTGATTATCTTAATACAATGAGTATGTTTGTCTTGAAGAAATTCATTCGTTTCACTCATATTTGTTTTCAAATTTTAAATTCCTTTTTGCACTATGATACCAAATTGTTGCTCATTCTCTTGCCTAGGCAGAGATTGAAGGGAGGATGATGATCTAAAGAACACAAAATCTCTGGTTGTTTGCTTTTGGATAAAATCTTGCTGATGATGTACAGGCATTGTTTCAAATCCCTAAACACTGGAGATATAAGGAAGATAATCCCTTGCTAACCCCTTTTGAGCCTTTGAAGTAGAAGTTTCTTTTCTATACGAAAAAACCTTGAATTTTAACCTGGGGCAGGGTAGTTTTTAGTTAATTTGACTGAGTGTTCAAAATTCATAAGGAAGATGTTTTTTGAAGAGAAACTACGAGGGCTATCTTTCATGTATAATGAAGCCAGAAGATGTGGAATCATAATGTTATCCCTCATTCATCAAGAAACGAGGCAATCACAATCTTCTCAACAAGCAAATACAAGCTAATGTCGCACATTTTGTTCAAAAAGTCAAAAAACAAGAAAAAGAAAAGTCTGCTAAGTCAAAAAACATAAAAACGTGTGACTTAAGCAAAATTAAGGCATCCCGCTGGACTATCAATTCAAAAAATTAGTTCAGGCAAAAGTTAGGGAAAATAAAAATTGCAAAGAAAAGGACTGCAAAGAAAAGTCCTCAGCAAAGAACAAATTGGTGACTACAAACACGAAGACATGAGGGTGGTTTCTACTCCGAAAGCCTCGTCGTTTCCTTGACCGTCACAAAATCCTTTTGAGAGACGAACACTCATGTTGAATTAACTGAACATAGGGTTGGAGAACATCATGAAGAATGGGTGGGCACCAAATATTTTGAGCCTTAAAATCTTTTTTTTCTAAAAACCATGAACCAGACCACGTTACAACCTTCAAAAGTCCTAATTGAAGCAAGGTTATTTTGAAAGCATACTTCAATGAGATAGTGTTCCTGACTCCCATGAATGTTCTAAATAGTTATGTTGGTATCATATGTTTTTCCTATACAAAAATAAATGGTGCTTTAGCTTGCAAAATTTGTGCGATATCTTTCAAAATCTTCAAGACTTACATAACTGTTGCATTAGAATTTTCATTCTCATTGTAAACTTTTTCTAACTGCAAAACATTTGTTTGATACCAAGGAAGCTCACATAAGCACCAGTGATGAGTTTATTCTTTTAAGGCCTGAAACTATGTTGAGTAATTGGCGGATCACGTCAAGAAAAATCATATCCATGGGCATGTCACCTGAAGACCTTAAGCACGAACATGTTGCTTCTCCCAGTTAATGCTTTTCCCAACTTGTTTACCCTTTATTGGGGCAAAAGTTGAAGACTTTGTTGTGCCAACTACAGTCAATCCGGGGCAATCACGTCGAGACTTGACGAATCTCTCTAAGAGTTTGAAGACACCAGAGCATGGTGAATGCCAGGTCTTTTGTAAAATCCTCTTGAGACGATTTCTCCCCATCAACCATATAACTTGGGGCATTTTACAAGTGAAGTTATTCGCAAGAGTTGTCGTGCAACATGCAGCTCATCAGCAGTAAACTTGGGGCATCCAAAAATTTGTCCC